AAAACAGAAAATACTTGGTTATGTTTGTAACACTAAGGCTATGTTTGGTAACCAAATAAGCTAGCTTATAGCATATTTGGTTAGCTTATACGCTCCTTATATTCAAATAAGTTTGGTTTGGTGGGACGAGCTTTTTAAAAAGCTCGAGCTTATGAGTAGGCCTTTTAAATAAGCTCGTTGAAATTTTAATTTCAGCTAGCTTATAAGCCAATTTTACAAAAACACTTTTATCATATAAGCTAACTTTTTAGCTATAAGTCATAAACTATAAGCTGTAAACTCGAAAATCACTTATAAGCTATCAGCTGAAATCAAACATAGCCTAATTATATTTCGAGAGAGAGACAGAGTAGTAATCCATAGTAATAGTTAAAGCATATCACCTGATTTATAGCATTATAGTAATAAAACGACATCTGAACGACTCCTTGCGCGCTCATGCAGAAGGAAAGAGCAATCGCATCCTTAACCGGCACCTTGCAAACATACGCCGTGACAAAAATCGCAGCCAACTTCATCGCGAAACAGATAATAAGCACAAGCCACACCACAGCTATAAACTTCAGATCATACAGCTCGACCAAATTCACGTTCATCCCGCAATACGTCACAAGCAGCGGCGCCAACAGTCCTGAAATCAACGTCTCCAGCCTGTCCTCCAGTGTCGCCCCCAACGGGGGCCCGTCCGGTACAGCCAGGCCCAATAAGAACGGGCCATACTGGTAATTAAGGCCCACATTATCAGTAAGCAAGACCACAATCAAGACCAGAAGCGCCATCAGCATGATGTGGAATCGGCTGACGGGCTTTCCTTCCGGAGTCTTCTGAATGATCCACAGACAAATCGGACGGGCCACGAACAAGATGAACGCAACCAAACAAAATGTCAGAAAGGACGAATGCGTAATTAAAACTCCCGCGTAGCCCATTAGCCCTATCCGCCCGTACGAGATGATGGTGGACGTTAAATTGCTGACCAAATCGCTTATGAGTGCTGATGCAAGCGCAAGACGGCCGAGCTCGGTGTTCATGATTTTAAGGTCGACGAGCATTGAAGCTATAACGGGGAATGGGAATAAGTTCTGAATGGTGACGATTGTTTTGTAAGCGGGCCATCTGTACCTGTGAATATTCGTCTGGTTAAGTATGCTTAGGATTAAGCCGCCGCTGACTGGGACTGTGACGGAGAGGACACCTATAGTCCAGGCCTTGATGCCGGTCCTCAGGACGATTCTTGGGTCCATTTTCACGCCGCTAAGGAATATAAAGAAAATGTAGCCGATTTTGGATAGTAAGTCCAAGTAGACATCTCCTTCTTGTGGGAACAGTGCAGATTGAATATCTGGCATCTGGCCGAGAATAGTTGGTCCGAGTATGATTCCAGCCTGGTTT